AAAATTAAATAAATAAATAGTAAATATATTTTAAATACAGATATTGATTTTATATTTTTTTAGTACAAATCTATGTTAGTGTTTTCTTTAGCTTTCAAGTACCATGTCATATCTATAATACATATAAAACAGCATATAATTGCAGCCTTAAGTGCTAGTGCAACTACTATTGAGCAACCCATTTATTTCTATAGCTAAAAATCATTTGGGCATATACATGACTTTGTTAACTAGGAAAAGAAGCAATTTTGAGTTTTGTAATCAGGTTTTGCTGGAGATCAGTATGCCATCCAAGGTTTGCAGTTTGCAGGGTTTGTACTGAAGAATTCACCAAGGAAAACAGATTTTCTGTTGTCTGAAATATGTATGTTATTGTTCAGAAATGCTGCTGTAAGCAATTAATTTTTAAAGGAAGCTTCAGTATCACTGAACAATGCTTATCTAGCAATGCTGTAGTGTGCAAAAAGTATTTGCCTGTTGTATCTTTCTTACAGAACTTAGCAAACCAAGTCTCCACAGCTCCAGTCACCTTCCCTGTGACAGGGGAAATATTGACAAGGAGTGACAAGGCTACAGTAGATCAGTAAGGAGACCAGCTCCTTGACACAGGCTGAGCACTAAAAGGGTCTGATTCAATCTCATTTCCACACGAGATGCCACTAGGTGAAATGAACCCATGAAACTGCAGCCTGAACACACAGCAACCTACAGCACTGGCATTGTCTGCATGTGAAGGTGAAAGAGCTCCAAGATACAGGTATTCCTAATTAATGTTGCTAAAAACAGTAGATGTGGTTTAGGTAAAAAAATCCCAGATTTTGACTTTGTGCAGTGTAGTGACATGCCTACAACACCCTGCCCGAGAAGTGCATTGCCTGATGAATTGTTTTTGCAGGTCTCTTTTTAAAACCTACTGGATGCATCACTGTTTCTTCTTTGCACGTCCCTGCAATTCTCGCTTGCCTTTTTTTCCTCCTGTGTAATCACCAAATTAAAGGTTGGATAATGCCCCTTTCTCTCTCACTTGAATAATTAGATTTTGCTTCTTATTACAGCTAAATATCTATCTATCACATCAGATTCGATCATTTCCCCCATTTTTTTTTTTCACTGACCCATTTGTTTCTGACCACACACTTCCCTCCCAAAGCCCCAGTGTATTTTCTTTTTCATCTGACTCCCAGCTACATTAAGGCTAACATTAGTGGTACCACTGGCTCGTTTTGTAAATAGCCTGTCTTGACAAATAAGTTAAATCACGGGTGTCCTGTCCCCCTCACCACAGGGATGTGGCCCTGGAGAATGTTAGTCTTTAGACAAAGACACTGAAGAGAGGAAACTCAGCTTGGTTGGGCTGCAGCAAGTCAGTCAGGAAACACACAGTCCCCGAGAAACCTTCATACAGACTATATACACTCTCTAATGCTCGGGAACCAGCCTTAAATTCTTCTGTAAACAAGAACTCTGCAAACCTAAGAGGAAAAAAAAGAGTTTTTTATTAGTTGATGCTCTTCTCTGTCTAGTCACTTGTTATTTGAAAGCATCATTTTAGTAACATTCAGCAGCTACAAAAACCAGAATGATCATTAACTAACCTTATCTGCAAATTTTACACTATCCAATTTCCACGTGGAACTGAGGTTCATTAGATCTAGAAGAGACAAACCTTTGCAATCTGTATATGCATTATGCTTGTTTAAGAGGTATAAACCTCTTCTGATTTCTGTAAGACATATCATTAAACAAATACTTAATAACCTCTAGGATGTAAGAAATGTTTCACATCAATGCAACAAATTCTGTATTGATGAAATAACTACACATGTAACAGGTTCTCACTTCAAAGCAAATGGATGAAAATCAGCCAAACTAATTACTATGCCACTTCCCTTTGTTATTCTAGGCTGTAAGGAAAGCAGTAACAAACATTGAATACTATGTTTTTAAACATGTACAGTACATTACAGATATGCAATCAAAGGTAATTGCAGCACTGTGACAGGATTTTCACTGGACCATACGTGCTTGCATCTGGACACAACGGAATTAACTCCATTAGCTAAGCTGAACAGCACAAATGTCAAACGGGCTAAAGGTGGCACTGATAAATTAAAAAACTGTAAAACAACAGCAAATCACGTCCTAGACATATTTGCCCACTTCTAATGGTATGAAATAGTGTTGATTTCTCTGAAAAATCACCACAAATCATGTTTTACTCTGCTCTTGGACTCAGATATGCAGCTTGGCCGATTTTTGATGTCACATCAGGATGAGACCTGGATGTTTGTCATTCCTCCACATCAGCCCGTTCCCTCCAGAGGGGCACAGGCTCTCAGCAGGGAGGGAGGCAACTGGGAGAACCCTATGCTGCTCCCACTGCAGGCAGCCTGGAAGCAGAACTGCAGAGCAAACTGCAGAGTGCACCTGCCCCAAACCTCACTGCAACTCGTTGCTTGGCAAACATCTGAGGGTGATAATCACAGACTCTGAGCAGGTTTACAAATGTCCCTGAAATTTTCCAGTATAGCCCTAAACCCAGAAGATAGGAATGCTAACCTTTGTGCCCTGTATATGTATTTTGAGTTTCCAGTGAGCCTATAGAGCAGCAGGAACACATAAGCACTACCAGCCACTCCATGGCAAATTCCAGGGCCCTTCTTCAACAGGCCTTTCTGCCACGTCAGCTCTCCACAGCGGATACAAGTGTCCAGGTATTGAGGCTTCTTGGAAACCAGGTAAGCTTTGGCAAATAGATATGCAATGCCTAGGAAAAGAGCAGTGAGATTATCTTCTGTAATAAGTATGCCAAGGGTTTTGCAGAACACATAAGAAAATAAACATTAATGCCCTAAAAACTGCAGTGTCATGCTGTACATATCTCACTGTTATCTCTTCATGCTACATCTGGAGGGGAGAGTATCCGGTATGCTAAAAAGTATATGGTAAGATGTACTTATCAACACCCTATGATGATACCACTTTCATAGAATCACAGAATTTAAGGGTTGGAATGGACCTTACAGATCATCTAGTCCCATCCCCCCTGCCATGGGCAGAGACACCTCCTCACTAGATCAGGTTGCTCAAGGTCTCAGACTTTCAATCCTTCCAATTATTATTTCATTTCAGGGGCAGAAATGCACCTATTGTTCCAGCTGCTGCAGCAATAAATAAAACACTCTTAACTGGAAGAAACCTAAATAGTTTGCCTGCATCTCACAAAATCAGTCAAATTTAACCTGAGATTATCTTCTACATGGAATCACCTAATGTGGAAAAGCAATGTGATCAGCATCTATCTATTCATAGCATCAATGGGAAAAGAACCTGGAGCTCCATGACACCAGTGCACAAGCTCATTCTCCCTCTCTATTGTCTCCCCCAGCTCGGGAGGCCAGTTGTTGTTCTGCTCTTGGTCCATGAGAAAATCCACGCTCTGCCACACAAGCTCCTGATCTGCTGGCTGCAGGTACTCATAATAGGAGAGCAGCATCTGAAGGATTGATGAAAGCCCATGTGCTGCACCTGTAAATACAAACAATTGAATTAAGAGAGTGGGTTTAAGTCCTACCTCCATGTCATGGCAACTTTCCCTTGGAACTGATTTCCTTGTGCAGTGCATGGCTCCTTCATCTTCTTCATGCATATTGTAATAGTGCTTGGAATAAAAGATTTCTAGGTACATAACACCATCATTTTTTACTAATTCTGTCATTTCCAGTTCCTCTAGGTTTAGAAAAACATGTATGAATTTTTTCTGTTCTCTCTCTGATATGACTGAAACTCAGTGCATGAAGTTAACCTGAACCAAATGCTGTTTCTAGATGTTATTCTTCCTGAGACACTTCTGAATCCGAACCATTATTCTGAAGTCTTTGTTGAACCCAAATTGAAACTAGACCAGAAATGGTATTCCCAGCTATATATTTTATTTCTGAAGTGCCTAGCTCAAGCATCTACACACAGCATCACTCTCAAAGTAGTTGGTGTGTTTTACTCACCAAGATACTCTGTTCCATAGTAGGAATACATGAGTGGGAATGGTTTCCTCTTCTTCACTGCATACTGTTTTCCTGATTCTAGTATGGCCAGGCAGATTGATTTTATTTGTGCTGGGGTGAGCACCTAAACAGAAACATCAAACAAACATCAAGTCTATTATAATAATATCAGCTTTCAAGGCATTTTTCAGGACTCTGCTTTTTAGCTGGTGCACAAGACAAAGTGCTGCCTTTAATCTTATCAGCATGCTGTAATGTACATCATTATTAAGAGTTCCTTACATAACACAGCCAATTTACATAATGTTTCTCAAAAACAGAGATTCATCCCATCTCAGGAAAGTCAATGTCAAATCTTCAGCTGCACAGATGAGGTGAAAACAGACCTACTAAGAGCCTTTCCTTCCCAGAGATCCATCAGGCTGATGGGAGCTGACAACAGGCAGCAGTCAAGCTGCACAACAACAGCCTCCAGACTGGGGCAGGAGACACTAGGACAAGGCAAAGGGAAATACTAGAGAAGAAGTGAATGTGATAGGCTTTATTGGGACACACCGAGCTAGAGAGATTTTCCTACATATGAGATGAAAAAGAGCAAGGAAGCAGGTACTAAATGTTATTGAGAATCACTGCTGTGTTTGTGGGTTCAGAAACAGCTTAGTAAAAGAATCAGGCTTTCTAACTTCAAGAAAATGCTAAGAAAAATGAAGCACAAGACAAGTTTCTGTAAAGACAGGCCAGCTCTGTTTATGGGACTTTATCATTACAAACAGGTCAACACAGTCTTTAATGTAGTCCTAAGAAATTACTAATGCCTTACTCTTAGTTATGTCAAAAGTAAGATTGACAAATCATGTATTTAACCAGACATGAACTTTCCCAAGTTACTGACCTAGCGCACTCAGTGAGGAATCAATTTTACAGGTTTTGACTGCAACTCTAATTATATACAATTCCCTGCAATCATCAGCAATTCCCTCTGTGTCAGCCACATCTGTACATTACTGACCAATACCTAGGTCAATTAAATAATTCAGTTGAAGCAATGTTTGGGCTTTAGGGGAAAGCCTATATGGCATCTATGCCTTGAAGAAATACATTTCAGCTTATGAAAAAAGAACTGAGAAACAACATAGGCAAAATGAAACAATAAAAAAGGAAAAGGCTGTACAAGTAGCTGTGACAAGATAAATGGTAATCCTAAAACTACCTGGAACATCAAGATAATGTATTTGAAATGTTTCTGCACACATTTGGGTTTGCTATAATTTGTATTATCATTTGCAATTACTTCTTCAAAATACTGATAGCATTAAGTACGGAGGCAACATCTGTTACAAACTCCTAGAAAACTGTTCTCTCTCCTGTGGCACACAAAAGATGCTACAGATAATTAATGTCGCTTAAAACTTGACTGCAAATTAATGGCTGAAAAAACTTGTCTGTCTTACCTCGCTCCCAGATAACAAGGCATTTTATTACAGCTTCTCCAAATGACTCTGATATTTGTACAGCCTGGAGAACAACCTGCTCCTGATCTTGACTAGTGTTCTTTAACCTTACTGTAGCAGAAGTAAATAAGCCATTAACATCTAGAGACTTCAGTCATTTCCAGATATTTTTAAAGGAATTGTTTTAGCTTCACAGAATTAAAGGAATGGTTTAAATCCTAAGGAGAGACATGGTGAGACACATTGAATTCTCTCCAGAGCTCTCATTTTACCCTTTTGCAGTTTGGGACCTTCTCCTCCACATTCCATACCTTGTAAAAGCATTTGTAATGTAACCCTCTAAAAATAAATGTGAAGGATAAGGTCACTAATGGTAATTCTGGAAGGCACATGCACATTGGTTAGAAAAATCTGTCAGTTCATTTTCTGTATGTAATGATTCCTTTAGTTAATATTATCCACTAGCTTTCAATACAAACCATATTTGGCCAAGCTTATTTTTATGTCAGCACATTGAATTTTTAAATTGAATTAATGACTATTTTAAAATGCTGAGTATGTATTTTAAATGGATATAAACTTCTGCCCAAAACCAGCCTCCCACGATGCTGCATAAAGGAGTATCAGCCAGCAAGAAATGCACTGTTCACCATTTGAAAATATAAAATAAGTGTAAAAAGTCAAACACTTAAGCATTATGAATTCCTAAGTGTATCCACAGTATATACCCTTTTGGTTGGCATAATGAAATATCCTAATGAAAACCACCTCTTTGTCAGAATGGAAAAGCAGCACCTGCAAAGTCAGATGAAAAATGATACCTAAACTGATGATTAGAATGGATGATAGCAGCCAAAGCACCTGACCCACTTCCACATTTCCAAAGAAAATGGGAAATTACCTGTGTACCTTGAAAACAACCTTATTTCTAACCACTTGGACTGACCTGCTTAAGGCAGGTGGGAGCTGTGTCTTAACTAACAGCTAAGTAAGAAAAATTTTGTGCTGACTACAAATATCTCTTACCCAGTGGCTCAGTTCACAGTCATTCCCAAAACACTTTCAGAAGGATTTGTACTTGCTCCTTATTCTAGGAAATGGTTGGCTGGAACAGAAACCTTCGTTTACCATCGTTTTTAGTGCCCTGCCAAAGGTTAATCAGAAATAATCCACTGGTTTGCTACATTTTATTTCCACCAGTTCTGTGTTAAAACCTCCTCGTATTTCTTTCGCCTTACCAAGAAATACAATCTGTGGCTTGTCTCTGTTTATGCTCCTTCGCAGTATCTTATGGCCAAAACAACAATCTTAGGATACATTAATCATAACCACAGACAGTGTAGCTGTCGTTCTGCAAAGTTCATTTTCATTTCAGCATAGCTGCAATGCCTTCTTGCCCCTGGGAATTACTGAAGCAATATGTTTAATTAGGGACAGAAAAGAAATAGAATGATCATCCTAAAGGCTTTGAAAGGATGAATTGCATATTAATATCACATCCTCTGGAGCTGTCAGATGCTTTGATGAAGAATAAAGCCAATATGAGAATATGCTACCTAGAAAAATATTTAATGCTTGAGATAGATAAATTTTGTACGAAACTTCTTGAATGTCATTTAATATGAGCATAGGTAAAATTATTCTTTATCATGTCAGTGCTTAGCCAAAAGACTACTGACACTAAGAGATATATTTCTGTTGTTTTCAAATTTCAGCTAACCCTTTTTGTATTTTTAAAAACATCACAACTTACCCTGTGATAGAATTACAGAATGGTTTGGTTCAGGTGACCTTAAAGATCATCTAGTCCCAACTCCCCTGCCATGGGCAGGGACACCTTCCACTCCACCAGTTCCTCAAAGCCCCATCAAGCCTAGCCCTGAACACTTCCAGGGATGGGACATCCACAACTTCTCCACAACAACCTGTTTCAGTGTCTCACCATCCTCACAGCAAAGAATTTTTTCCTAATATCTATTCTAAACCTGCCTTCTTCCAGTTTAAGGCCATTTCCCTTTGTCCTATCACTACATGCCCTTGTAAAAAGGCCCTTTTAAGCTTTCAGCTATTCATTGAACACACATAAATTGTACATGTTCCTTTTCCAAGTTAAATACAGGTGGCCTGTCCAGTTTTGTCGAAATTAGTGATGTTGTCTCTATTGATGTTAGAAATGTTCATTTTAGTCTTCTCACTCGATCGAAGTTTGGAATACAAGCATTGCACACTTCCCCTGCAATTTCTCTATCGATAGGTTGGTGGAGTTCTTTATTTTCTGCTGTATTGATATCATTGTCCAGTGATGCTGTGTACTGTTAAATAACAGTTCTGCTCACACTGGTGACAGCTACATTCCCATATGACTTTCACTTTAAGCACAACACTTAGGCAGCACTGTAATCCCTGGTATTTATACCCGTACCTAGGAGCACAACCTACAGTACAAAAGCCACTATGATTGCTTCTAAAGTCTCTCCATTTTCCTCTTGTGCCACTGCAGACAAATATGCCTTTTCCCATCAAGGCAGTCCACGATTTTGAGAATTATTTAAAGCAGGTAAATCCCTGTTAAAAGCCAGCAAGGAGGTGCTATGCCTACAACAACAATCACAGAATGTTGTACTTCTATTTGTAAGACGTCTTTCTTAACCTGAGATTGTTTAGTTGGAAGTAAATAATTTTGCAACTCCTTTTAATCTACTAAGTGTCAGTTATGACAACGCTAGGACCTAAATATGTGTTTTGAAAACTGCAGGCAAAAATGTTGACCTTGAGGATTAGGCAGAAAGAAGCAGGACTTCTTTGCTTCTGATTACAGTAATGTTTTCAGCACTTCATCATTCCTCTGAATGCTTGTACAAGCCCCTTGGCTCATGCTTTGTCTTCTGAAAACCACTGCTACATAAACCTGCATCGTGTATTGAGTATATTTGATGACTGTAAGCTTTTAATTCTTTCAAAAGATCTGTAAATATTTCCTTACAGCTCTTTCCTGTATGGAAGAGAAGGCATTACTGAAGCCAAGGATCATTATGTTTTGATAAATGCACAAGTACTTTTAGGAGGTAACATCTACACTTAAATTATCGTGGAAAAAGCTTTCTATGTATGTAAAAACATTTTAATATGCATCTAGCACATCAAACCTCTCTCTGCTGTACTTCTATAAAGCTATTTACATGAACTTGATCATACACTTTTTCAGATGCTGCACGAAGTGTCAAAGTAAGCTAAAGAAAATAGGTCAGTCTGCAAATACTGTAACAGGAGCTTTGCCATCAGTCTCCTGTGCTGGTAGCCCAGCAGAGGGAGCTTGTGAATTAGTTATGATCACCAAAAATGCTGTAAAGAAAAGATAAACGTGTTTGTGTTCAGGACAGCTGACTCAAGCAGAAAGATGCTGGAACCAGCTGGGTAATTTCATGATACCTTACTGCACCACATGATAAGTTCACTCCTTAAGCTTGATCCTTTTCTACTAAAGAAAAGGGCTGGGATTGTTCAGGAACCTTTCCATGCAATGTCCTGGCCTGGGCTTTTGATTTCAGACGATGCTAACACCTAAAGCCATGGAAGAGTAGCAGGTCCAAGGACAGAGGGATCTGCCTGTCCTTGGTGTTATTCCAGTTTGACTGATGTACCTCTCCTGCAGCACAGTGGGAGACCCAT